TGCCGGAGGCTGTCCTTCCCTCCGTCCAGACACAAGAGAGAAGAGTAAAGAGTAGCTGGTTCCAATTTTATCCAGTGCCCTGCAGTCTGAATACTGTTTATTGGCTGGATCATCGTGGCACTTGCTGTATGTTCTATAGATAGGTATCACGGACTTACCACACATCAAAGCTATTTTAGCAGCAGGACTGTCAGGTTGCTCTGTATGGAGGCTGAAGAGCTAGCTGGGCTGCTGTGGCCAAAGGCTGATGGCCAGCACTTCAAACTCTCGCTGGTGGCCAGCTACAAGGGTACTTGGGGACTGATCCTGCAGCTAGTACTGTTTAGTATCCTCAGTACCAACATGGGACAGAGAGCACTACTTGCAAGTTCACAGGCGCTTGGTGGGACGGGACTGCCGGTCAGAGGAATGTGGACAGGCTGGACAGGAATCTCATTAAATTCAACTACAGGTGCTGCCAAGTCCCTCACCAGGGACAGAAAAGCCCCAGGCACCAGTACATGCTGGAGACCAGCCAGTTTGAAAGCAGCTCTGCAGAGAAAGCCCAGACAACAGTTTGACCAAGGTGACATGTGGGTAACGCACCCTTGCAGCAAAGGCGGCTAACAGCTACCTGGGCTGCATTAGGAAAAGTATGACCAGCAGGTCCAGTGAAGTGATCCCTCCCAGCTTCTTGAGACTTGTGCTGAGTTTTGGGCTCCCCAGTATGAAATGGACACTGACACACTGTAGGCCGGTGTACCAAGCTGGAGAACAACAATTTATACAAGCAGAGGCTGAGGGAACTAGATCTGCTCAGCCTGGAGAAGACAAGGGTTTTCAGAGACATTTCCAGATACCTCTGTGGAGCTTACAGAGAAGATGGAGACATACTTTTCTCAGAGTCGCATAGCAAGAGGGTTAGAAGGACCAGTCACATGTTGCAACAAGGCAAATTTGGACTTGATAAAAGAAAAAGAGTTTTTCACAAAAAATGGCAGGTGGTTAAACACTGTACCAGGTTGCACAGGGAGGCTGCAGAATCTCCATTCTCAGAGGTGTACATATAAGCAATCACTCAAATATTTGCATTTGCAACTTTAATAAAGTTATGGGACGTGACTTCAATTATTCAATTCAATTATTCAATACGGGATGTGAATTCAATTATAACATCTTAATTGATTGTTACAATATAATTATACATTGAGTCAAGATTTATTGCCTACCACCATCAGAATGAATATTATATTGGTGAAGAAACTACTACACGATGACCTGTGTCAGTTGCTAGAATGAGTCTGAAACAATGGACAAAAAACTTTATTCACGTTTCAGCATGATACAAAAGAGATACACTGTGTCTTGGAAAGAGTGAAGAAAGATGGAGAACACCATTGGTAGGAAATTCTTCTTGGATGGTGTCCTGGTTTGGGGTTAAACAGAACCAATTTTCTGTTCAGTAATTTTACTTTTTAGCTAAGCTTCTTCTAACTAACTAAACTCTCTGAAATTAAGAGCCTATTGTGCAGAAACTGTTTGCTCTCGGAGTGATAAGACCTGATTATGCCAAGGAATGGTATGCAGAGAGCTTGCTATAACAGCCAAGGTCAGCTAACTATGTTATTTGCTCTGCTGGAGGGTCACAAGTGGAAAAGTGTAGAGGGGTCACACCTGTGGAGAGGAGCAGACAGGACAGGTGACCCAAAATTGACTAACAGGGTATCCCATCCTATCTGCATGGCTCTCAGTATAAAAGCTAAGGGATCAAAGGGGCAGCCTCTTTCTTCAATGGCCAGTGTCCAAGGAGGACGCTGTCTGCCCTTGATTGTGATCTGAGCAATCCAGATCTGGAATCCAGCTCACATCCATCACTGAGTCCAGTCTGGGACTTTCCCTGTGCCTGCTGTTGATGTGATCATCATGGGTTTGTATATATTGAATAGATTTTATTATTTTCTTTTTTAATAACTTATTAATATTTTCATTAAAGTAGTTTAGTTTTTTCCTAAACTCATAAATCTCTTTATCTCTCCCTTTCCTCTCCTTGGAGAGCGAGGTGGGGGAGAGCATCTGTCATTTGTCTCAGTGGCCAGCCCAGCCCAAACCACAACAGACGGTCACTGGAGGCAACGGGCGTTTTTAATCTCATGCTTCACCAGTTGTGATTAAGGTGTCTATTGCTTTTGATCATATTGTATATACAGGCTTGGTACATGATAAAACTAATAACCCAACTCCAACCATCCAAAACATACAAGCTAATACATAGCAAATAGTAATACTTCCCTATCTACTTACCGTGGACTTGTAAACACGTAAGTTACCAATACGTTATTTATGGCACAGAGGCAAGAGGTGACTGTACCACCACTCTGTGAGAATAAGATGAATCAGCTATAGTCACAGAGCAGAGTGTGACCATGTGCTCCACCACCAACCTGACCTTTATCTCCCATAACCCTGTCCAAGTGACAACCACCAGTGGTGGTCATAATGGATACGTCTAGTTGTGATGGCCGCACTCAGCTCAGTGTGGTTTTGGAGAGACAGATAACAACACAATAGTCAAGGTCTAACTTGAGCAATGCACCCACCTAACCTCAGTACTGGTACTGTGGTCAATATGCAAATCTGACTAAAGGTCAATCTTCTTACCCCCATAAAAACTGTACAGCCCAAGAGCCTTTTGAGCTCTCCTGCATGGCAGTGGGCTGTACACCAGGATCTCCCCTTGAGCAGGGATGCCTCTCCAGGTTACTTCTCAAGACTCAGAGATTCCTTGCCACAACAGATCCTCGGTAAGTGACTAATAGTTTGCTAAACTTTGAAATCTTAGCTAAGTAATATAAAGTATTGATTGTGCATATATAATCCTTTAGACTTAAAATGTTAACCAAGTCTGAGACTAGGCTTGGATCCAGCTGCACCTAGACTCCTCTTTGAGAAGGAGTTTAGAAAGCAAGGAGGTTCTTTCTGAACTTTGACTTAACAGGAGGGTCTCCCTGACAGCTCTGTCTGATTGTATTCTCTATGCCATAGATAACCAAGTGTGCCTTGCCATCGAATCTTGTTAAAACAATGTCACATACACTATCAAACATTGCTAAATCCCTGTTTTATATCAATAAATATATCGCTGCTTCTCTTCCCAAATGAAATGCATCACTCCATCCACGACATGAAGCAGATGGATGCAGCACAGGTTGCTGCACAGAGGAGCTTTTCACATTGGCTCTGGGAGCCCCAACATGGTTTAGGATTCAGTCATTCAAGGGCTGGGCAAAGGATAATCAGCAGAACAATGATACCAACACCCTAAGTAAAATGGGCCTGGACTGAAACAGCTCACCCAGCATATTAAGTGGCACTTAGACATCTGCTGCCCTCCTTCCCGCAAAGCTAGGCTTTGCTTTTAGAGATAAAGCAACATTTTAAGAAGGTTGTTTTGGGTCACCTCATTCCTCTGACTGCAGACTTCCAGGGAGAATAAACTACAGGGTCAGATGAGAGCAAAGTGGCTGGGAAAGCCAGCACTGTGGTCCCACCATGGGAACACGGGCTCCATGGGAGAGGTGAAACTGTGCAGTGCCAGGGGGCTCCTGGAGGAGACAGAGAAAGGGCACAGAGACAAGTTCAGCTAGTCTGGTGACCACAGCAACCGGTTAATAACTGGTTCAGTGTTATTTGCCTTGCTCCAACTAAAAGTGGGTGGAAATCCCCACTCACTGTTTATTATCAGCTTCTCCTTCCGTGAGATTTCCAAGAGATAATGTTAAAACATCAATCTTCTCAAGCAAATATGCCAGGTCTACGAGGCACTCAGGTATTAAATAACGGGTATTAAATAACAAAGGTAAACCTGGAGGAACAGCGTGCCGCTTCTTTCTTCAGAGCCAGCCTTATGCAGTGAATCCATCTTCTGAAGACGCTGTAAGAGGTGGGACAAGACCCCGTGCATACACAGCATCAAAGGAAACCGGGGCTTGCAAAGAAGAGCATTGGCAGAACAAGTCACACCCACCGCTAATAAAGCTGTGCCCAACAAGCCCTCCTGTGCTTTGTTTCCTGCCCCCTATGCACCATTTGGAGACTGACCTCAGCCTTCAAAGACATGAACCAGACTCCCCCACCTGCAGTGGGCAATACTACCTTCCCCTGTGGTATTTTTGGCACGTGAGGTGTCAGGGAAAGGGTTGTGAGTGTGCAGAAACGTGGTTGGTGAGTGAAGGGAGGGAGAGGTCTCTCAAGGGAAGGCAGCAGCTTAGTGGAATCATAGAATCATTCAGGTTGGGTAAGACCCTTTGTATCATCGAGTCCAACCATCTACCCTACTCTACAAGTTCTTCCCTACACCATATTCCTCTCCTTGGAGAGCGAGGTGGGGGAGAGCATCTGTCATTTGTCTCAGTGGCCAGCCCAGCCCAAACCACAACAGACGGTCACTGGAGGCAACGGGCGTTTTTAATCTCATGCTTCACCAGTTGTGATTAAGGTGTCTATTGCTTTTGATCATATTGTATATACAGGCTTGGTACATGATAAAACTAATAACCCAACTCCAACCATCCAAAACATACAAGCTAATACATAGCAAATAGTAATACTTCCCTATCTACTTACCGTGGACTTGTAAACACGTAAGTTACCAATACGTTATTTATGGCACAGAGGCAAGAGGTGACTGTACCACCACTCTGTGAGAATAAGATGAATCAGCTATAGTCACAGAGCAGAGTGTGACCATGTGCTCCACCACCAACCTGACCTTTATCTCCCATAACCCTGTCCAAGTGACAACCACCAGTGGTGGTCATAATGGATACGTCTAGTTGTGATGGCCGCACTCAGCTCAGTGTGGTTTTGGAGAGACAGATAACAACACAATAGTCAAGGTCTAACTTGAGCAATGCACCCACCTAACCTCAGTACTGGTACTGTGGTCAATATGCAAATCTGACTAAAGGTCAATCTTCTTACCCCCATAAAAACTGTACAGCCCAAGAGCCTTTTGAGCTCTCCTGCATGGCAGTGGGCTGTACACCAGGATCTCCCCTTGAGCAGGGATGCCTCTCCAGGTTACTTCTCAAGACTCAGAGATTCCTTGCCACAACAGATCCTCGGTAAGTGACTAATAGTTTGCTAAACTTTGAAATCTTAGCTAAGTAATATAGAGGTATTGATTGTGCATATATAATCCTTTAGACTTAAAATGTTAACCAAGTCTGAGACTAGGCTTGGATCCAGCTGCACCTAGACTCCTCTTTGAGAAGGAGTTTAGAAAGCAAGGAGGTTCTTTCTGAACTTTGACTTAACAGGAGGGTCTCCCTGACAGCTCTGTCTGATTGTATTCTCTATGCCATAGATAACCAAGTGTGCCTTGCCATCGAATCTTGTTAAAACAATGTCACATACACTATCAAACATTGCTAAATCCCTGTTTTATATCAATAAATATATCGCTGCTTCTCTTCCCAAATGAAATGCATCACTCCATCCACGACATGAAGCAGATGGATGCAGCACAGGTTGCTGCACAGAGGAGCTTTTCACATTGGCTCTGGGAGCCCCAACATGGTTTAGGATTCAGTCATTCAAGGGCTGGGCAAAGGATAATCAGCAGAACAATGATACCAACACCCTAAGTAAAATGGGCCTGGACTGAAACAGCTCACCCAGCATATTAAGTGGCACTTAGACATCTGCTGCCCTCCTTCCCGCAAAGCTAGGCTTTGCTTTTAGAGATAAAGCAACATTTTAAGAAGGTTGTTTTGGGTCACCTCATTCCTCTGACTGCAGACTTCCAGGGAGAATAAACTACAGGGTCAGATGAGAGCAAAGTGGCTGGGAAAGCCAGCACTGTGGTCCCACCATGGGAACACGGGCTCCATGGGAGAGGTGAAACTGTGCAGTGCCAGGGGGCTCCTGGAGGAGACAGAGAAAGGGCACAGAGACAAGTTCAGCTAGTCTGGTGACCACAGCAACCGGTTAATAACTGGTTCAGTGTTATTTGCCTTGCTCCAACTAAAAGTGGGTGGAAATCCCCACTCACTGTTTATTATCAGCTTCTCCTTCCGTGAGATTTCCAAGAGATAATGTTAAAACATCAATCTTCTCAAGCAAATATGCCAGGTCTACGAGGCACTCAGGTATTAAATAACGGGTATTAAATAACAAAGGTAAACCTGGAGGAACAGCGTGCCGCTTCTTTCTTCAGAGCCAGCCTTATGCAGTGAATCCATCTTCTGAAGACGCTGTAAGAGGTGGGACAAGACCCCGTGCATACACAGCATCAAAGGAAACCGGGGCTTGCAAAGAAGAGCATTGGCAGAACAAGTCACACCCACCGCTAATAAAGCTGTGCCCAACAAGCCCTCCTGTGCTTTGTTTCCTGCCCCCTATGCACCATTTGGAGACTGACCTCAGCCTTCAAAGACATGAACCAGACTCCCCCACCTGCAGTGGGCAATACTACCTTCCCCTGTGGTATTTTTGGCACGTGAGGTGTCAGGGAAAGGGTTGTGAGTGTGCAGAAACGTGGTTGGTGAGTGAAGGGAGGGAGAGGTCTCTCAAGGGAAGGCAGCAGCTTAGTGGAATCATAGAATCATTCAGGTTGGGTAAGACCCTTTGTATCATCGAGTCCAACCATCTACCCTACTCTACAAGTTCTTCCCTACACCATATCCCCCAACACCATATGCCCCAACACCACATCTAAACGACTCTTAAACACATCCAGGGATGGTGACTCAACCACCTCCCTGGGCAGCCTATTCCAGTGTCTGACCAATCTTCCTGTGAAGAATTGTTTCCTAATATCCAGTCTAAACCTTCCCTGTTGCAGCTTGAATCCATTCCCTCTTGTTCTATCACTAATTGCTTGTGAGAAGAGACCAGCACCAACCTCTCTACAGTGTCCTTTCAAGTAGTTGTAGAGAGTGATGAGGTTTCCTCTTCCTCAAAGTAAACAGTCTCAGCTCCCTCAATTGTTCTTCGTACAATTTATTCTCCAGGCCCTTCAACAGCTTTGTTGCCCTCCTCTGCACCCGCTCCAGCATCTCAAGATCTCTCTTGTATTGAGGTGCCCAGAACTGGACACAATACTCCAGGTGGGGCCCCACCAGTGCTGAGAACAGGGGAACAATCACCTCCCTACTTCTGCTGGACTATTTCTAATACAAGCCAGGATGACAGCTTTCCAGTCACACTTCCCCAAGCCTGTACGGATGCCTGGGGTTGTTGTGGCCCAAGTGCAGAACCTGGCACTTGGTCTTGTTGAAGCTCATACCATTAATGTTGGCCCATTGATCCAACCTATCTAAGTCTCTCTGTAGAGCCTCCCTACCCTCATGCAGATCAACAGTCCCGCTTAACTTGGTGTCATCTGCGAACTTACTGATGATACACCCTATGTCATTATCAAGATCATCAATGAAGATGTTAAACAGAAATGGTCCCAACACTGAGCCCTGGAGAACACCACTTGTGACCAGCCACCAGCCGGATTTAACTCCATTGAGCACCACTCTTTGGGACCGTCCAGACAGCCAGTGCTTGATCCAGCAGATTGGATGCTCATCCAGGCCATGTGCAGCTAGTTTTTCCACTAGAATTCTACGGGGAACAGTGTCAAATGCTTTTTGGAAGTCCAGGTAGATAATTATCCACAGCCTTTCCCTCGTTCAATAATCGGGTCATCTTGTCATAGAAGGAGATCAGGTTCATCTGGCAGGACCTGCCTTTCATAAACCCATGTTTACTAGGTCTGATCCCCTGGTTGCCCATGATATGGTTTTGTGATGGCACTCAGGCTGACCTGCTCCATGGTATTGAGGTCAGGCTGACAGGTCTATAGTTTTCTGGATCCTCCTTTTTGCCTTTCTTGTAGATGAAGGGGGCAAGGGGCTCCAAGACCCTCTGACTTGGGCAACTGCAGACAAATAACCCCTTGCTAACATGACACTGGTATCCTTAGCACTGATATCTGTCCCCAGGTGGCAAACACATTTTTGGTGATTGGAAACACCTGGCTCATTACAGTCTCTCTACTCACAAGCAGGCATATGCCAGAAACCTCTCCCCTTCGCAGCAGAGAGAAATGTTGAGACAAAGGGTTGTGTGAATCATTTCAGAGATGCATTGGGCTTGTTCAAACCTATTATGAAAGAAGAAAAAAAAGCTGAACTGACAAGGCATCATTACTTTTTTTCTGCTGACAAGTGATGTCAGTGGAACATGCTGTCGTGAGAGCATTTCCCCAGGCAGGGGGAGATGGGCCACCATCCTGGACACTCAGAAGAGTGCTAGCCCAGGCAGCAGGGCTGCAAGCCCCTCCACACTACATACCCGAGGGTCAGTCCCTGCCCCCTTTTCTTGAGCAGTAGGGATATAGCCCAGGATGCCAGGATGGGACTGGGCAAACACCTCCAGAACAGCTGGATGCTGGGCCTTTAGCTCAGCCCTCACAATGTTTCCCTTCAGGAATAGGGTGTGAAGTATCAACTGTAGGTGGAGAGACGCCCAGAGAAAAATAGGGTGCTTTTTTTTCCCCTTGGAAATCTGGGAAATGCCACTCCCAAGAATATACTTGCCACCATGCCAATGTCTATAGTACAAGAGGTTCTGTTTACATGAGAAAAAAAAGTGCTGTTAAGTCTCACACCACCACAGCCCAATACATTCATCCCAGTGTCAGATTACCACACAACGGAAGGTAGTTTCCCTATATATTAAACTTCCCCAGAGCTCAGATCTGTGCCAGAAGCTGAGCTGCAGACAAGTAAGTAAGATACTACTGCTCAGGGTGGGAGCTCTTCTCATTCCCTTCAGCAATACCAACTCCTTGGCAGCCCAGGGGCTGCAGCTTTTTCTTATGTGAGATTTCTGCTTGAATATCCGAAGGGAGCCTACAGGAGAGCTGGCTATGTGAGATTTCTGCTTGAATATCTGAAGGGAGCCTACAGGAGAGCTGGAGAGGTACTCTTTGACGGTAAGTGTAGTGATAAGACAAGGGGTAATGGTTTTAAGCTGGAAGAGGGGAGATGTAGATTAGATACTAGAAAGAAATTCTTTACTGTGAGGGTGGTGAGACACTGGAACAGGTTGCCCAGGGAGGTCATGGATGCCCCATCCCTGGAGGTGTTCAAGGCCAGGCTGGATGGGGCTTTGAGCAACCTGCTCTAGCGGGAGGTGTCCCTGCCCATGGCAGGGGGGTTGGAACAAGATGATCTTTAAGGTCCCTTCCAACTCTAGCCATTCTATGATTCTATGAATAACGCTACCAAGATTTGTCCTGTAGTTTTGGATTTAGGTCACCAAAATTTAGATGGCTCTCTTCCATATGTGAGCCTATCTTCCTAAGCTTCCCTCACAGTCAGTGAGAGAAAATGGGTGCTCCCACAGCACAACTCGCCCTGAAGTAGATGGCCACAGTGATTTAGACAGCTTGCATCTTGAAATGCCAATTCCTGAGTATAGAGTCTCAGGAGATTCAGGCAAAGCTCTCCAGGGGTGGTGAAGGCAGTTTGTACACAGAATATGGACAAGGAATAAAGGCTGTCATGGTGGGAGGGCAGCAGCACAGGGCACTGAACATAACTAATTTTGGTTTTTCTGATTTAAATATTGGGGATTTGGAGGAAAGAGAAAAAAAAATATTTGAGATTTGGAGGAAGTTACCAAGATGTCACAGAAGATGTGGGTTTGAAACATCAGCAGAAATGAGAGGTTTACAAATCTCTTATGAATATCTGCAGCCTGATTTGTGCCAGAGGAGGAAAGCTGCCATTGGGGTCTCTTATAAAAAACAGATGTGACTCCATTTGTGTGTTGCTTTGCCTACCCAACCAAGCGAAATACCCCATCAGCTCAGGAAGAGTTTCTTTGTGTTTATTTGTTAAGCAGTGAGATATGTTGATGTCTTCATGTGTGCCAATGCTGACTGGTTGATTTTTCAGGCTGTTCCGTCTTCTCAGAAAGAACCACTCCATGTACCCGATGCTCACTCTGCTGGGCCTTGCGGCCCTCCTGGGTAAGTCCAGCCTCCCTCACAGCCTTGCCCCAAGCAGCAGGAAGCAGGAGACCTTGATGCACCTCCTCCCCCCCACCTCCCCCCCCCCCAAAAATCTCGGTTGCCACTAGATTCTATTGGAGGAGGGAGCGCTCAGGTCCCCTTTCAAGTCTTGCAGAAGGAGGGGTGGCCTCTGAGGGACACATGGGCTCAGGGTACAGGGCAGGACCTCACCTCTTCTCCAGCAGAAGGAGTGACAGAGGCAGCCTCACGCAGCTCCTGTGCCCCGCAGCCCATCCTCTCTGAAGTGCAGCCTCCCCCTTGGGTTTTCCGTGACAGTCACAAAAAAGGGTTTTTACAGCTTGAGCCTTTCTGTATCTCCTCTGCAGGTGCCTCCCAGGGCCGCACAGATTGCTACGGCAGCGTCGACAGGATTAAAACCCCTGGGGCTTCATGTAAAACTGCCAAGCCAGAGGGTTTATCCTACTGTGGTGAGTATCCCGCTTCTGCCGGTCGGATCTGTTTTTCCATTGCACAGTAATCCCAAATCTTCTGCATTTCCAAAGTGCTGAACACATTAGCTGCTGAGCCAGCATAATATCCTTACAGGCAGTCCTCTACCTCCTCCCAGAGGCGAGGCAAACAAAATGTTGATATCATTCTGTCTGTGTTAGAAGGAGAGAGGTGAGAAACAATTCTGAGTTTTAAAAGTTATTAAGCAAATATCTTTACTTTTGATTTTAATTACAGGAGTTCAGGCCTCACAAAAGATTGCTGAAAGGGACCTAAAAGCTATGGATCAGTACAAAGCACTCATTAAGAAAGCTGGAGAAAAATGGTGTGTTGAACCAGCCGTGATTGCTGGCATCATCTCCCGGGAATCTCATGTTGGCAAAATATTGAAGGACGGCTGGGGTGACAATGGAAATGGATTTGGTTTAATGCAGGTATTTGCTGATGCTCCACTAAAACCTGACAAACAAATAGCATATAAATAAAAGTAAGCCCCCTAAACATATCCATTACAGCAGAGAAATGACTTCTTTCTGTTGTTTTGGTATTCCTAGGTCGACAAAAGATCACACAAACCTGTGGGAAAATGGAACAGTGAAGCTCATCTTATGCAGGGCACAGAGATACTTGTCTCGATGATAAAGAAAATGCAGAAGTTCTCAACCTGGACAAAGGATCAACAGCTGAAAGGTAAGGCACAGGCCACAGGTTTTGTCCAGGAGAGAAGGAAAACTTTAGGACAAGAACATACTGAATTAGTTCCCATGTTCCTCAAAAAACATGTTTCTAACAGGCTGTCACTTAGCTTTTCACCCCTCTTTTATTTCACCAGCAAAAGACAACCTTTGTCAATTCTGTGTTGTTTCTGCCTTTCCTTAGTATGGCAGCCTCGCTGAATTTCCACCACTATGTGGCAAATATTTATACGCCTGAAATCTATTCTATCTCAGAGCTGAGCTTTCTTTATCTGACCATGAGGAACCTCCTGCAGCCATATTGGTTAACAAACAGCTCCGTGGTGTACTTGAATGGGGCCAGCAGTTTACTCCCTATCTCTTTTCACAAAGGAGCCGAAGTGTTTGCTATGATATCTACACCTAATTGAGGTGTACGATATGATATTATTCTTGTCTATTCTATTGTATTTCATGAGTGTAAACGAAGGGTGTGTGCTGGGCCAAGTAAAGGGTACGGGTCCATCAAGCTGCAAGTATCTGTGAACACAAAACCTGAAGTATCTTGCCAATGTTTTGGTGGATTCTGGAATAACTGTAAGATGCTTGCAGGCAATGCTGCCTACTCCCCTTTCAAAGTTCCCATGAGTGAAAGCCTTCAAAACCAGTAAAAGCAGAACACATAAGCCTGGAATTTTCCCCTTTTTTTTCCCTTTTTTAAGTCTGTATGACTTCTTTTGGTGTTTTATTTCAGGTGGGATTTCTGCCTACAACGCTGGTGCTGGGAATGTCCGAAGCTATGACAGAATGGACGTTGGCACCACCCATGATGACTACTCCAACGATGTGGTGGCACGAGCCCAGTATTACAAGAAACACGGATACTAGACTCAGCAATCTCTACTGAGTAACTTCCTTACCATCACATGCACGACTCTGAGGGAGCCAAGACACAGAGCAGCTGTACCCTGCAAACCCACACAGATACAAATGTACAGGAATTATTTACATGCATAACAGGCTAAAGCCCCAAATTTTTAAAACAATATTCAGTAAGACAGATGTCATGCCGTTTCTTTACAAGCAATATGGTTTGGATTTTACAAAGGGAATATTGCCAAATTCTTAATATTTTTTTCTCCTACGTACATATTTCGCTGAGTTACGAGGACTGTCTTGTTTTCCTGTTGATAATTTGCTGCCTTCCAGATCTTAAAACACATTTCTGCCAAAATCTGTCATTCTCAAGAAACCAAAAAGGCAAAATTCTTCCTTGGGTGTTAGCATCATGATTTATTTTTTCTTTTTCAAAGCTGCTGGATATTTACATTATGCTGTGGAGTAGCAATTTTTTTCCAAATGTTAACTTCTCATATAAATGCATAAAATAGAGATGGATGCTTTCGGTCATATAGAAATAAGCAAAGAGAAATTGAATAAAAATGTTATTAGCAAATGAAACATGTCTCCAATGTATTCACATTGTTATGTGTGTTAGCAAAGTTTGGATAAGTACAATGTTAATTTTAGGCAGATAGAGAAACTGAGAAGGGAACAGGATGAAACACATGTTTGCGCTTCATAAAATTCTTTTTCCTCCCTGCTGCATGTAGATGAGTGACACCCAGGGAAAATAGCAATGTCTGAGTTTGGCATATTTTGGTGCTCCTATTCCTTCTAGACCTGGAACTGAACTGTTTTGGGGGTGGGAGAGTGGAAAGGCAAGGAAAGGAGAAGGGTTGATGCCTGCAGAACTAAGTGACACATTCTCCAGAGAAAAAGGAAGAGCTGGTTTTGGTCTGTCCCACCAACATCTGCTTGCATGCTGAGGGGACTTCCTTTATTCTTCCATGATGAGCACACCTTCTGTGACTGGGAATAACTGTATGTCAAAATAATTAGGAAAAACACTGGCTGCAAGTACCCTAAATGGATAGGAAAATGCAATCCAAAGCCATTAACAGTGCACAGAGTTATGATACACGTCCTCCCAGGCGCAATCAGGGACCATGCTGAAAACAGTCAGGATGAGTTTAAAAGGGGTAAACAGTGCCCAGGCCAACCTGTTTGCCTCCTGTGATGAGACGACCAGCTTTATATAGAAGGGGAGAGGAGCAGATACGGTATACCTTGACCTAGCAAGGTCTTTGCCCCAGCCAGCCATAGTATCCTTATAGTCAGACTGGTAGGACATGGACTGGATTGGCTAGAAAGTCACCGGGCTCAAAGCATGGTGGTCAGTGTCACAGGGTCCAGCTGGTGGCCAGTTGCTAGTGGCATCCCCTAGGGATGGATCCTGCAGCCAGTACTGCTTCATGTCCTCAGCAGCAATTCAGTACTAGGAACAGAGACCGCTCCCAGGAAGTTCACAGGTGATACTGAATGTTGGTTCCTGGAGAGGATGAAGAAATGGACTGATAGTAACACTAGAATGACCAATTAAGACAAAGACAAAGCCCTACACCTGGGACAGAAAAACCCCCTGCACTAGTATGGGCTGGGAGGCAACTGTCTAGAAAGTAAGATGTGCAAAAAGGGGACCTGGTGGACCCATGGGCCCTCATGGAGATGTAGACTAAAAGCACCCTGAGCTGCTTTAGCAAGATTCTAGCCAGCAGCAGGGAGGGGAGTGATCATTTCCTTCTCTTTCATGTTTGTGAGACCACACCTGGAGCACTGTATCCAGTTTGGGGCTCCCTGATACACAAGGGGTGAGTCCAGTAAAACCACCAAGCTATTCAAGGGCTGGAGCACAGAACACAAAAGGAGAGGCTGAGGGAGCTGGGTCCCCTCGGCCTGGAGAAGAGTCACCTTTGGGGTGGCCATGCTATCTGGACTCTGACTGCAATGACAGTCTCTGCAGCCTCTTCCCCCTCTCTCCCAAGGGGGAGAGAGGCTTTCAGTGCTTCATGCATTGAAGGTCAGCTCTGATACTGCACTATGATGAGCCTCACCTGTTCTCCACTTCCATGCACCTTCTACCTGCTGGCTCAGGAGCTGGATTTAAGCTCACAACCTTGCCCTGGGTCCTCACCTCAGCTGCACTGGAAGTCAGCCTGTGCCTGGCTTTGTAACCTACTGATCCTGATTTGGCCTTGCTGACTTTTCCTTCCTGGCTCGCACTTGAACCTGTCTTGTAACTATGGACTTGTCCTAGCAGGCCACCTTGACCTGAAAAGATCTTGCTTGCCATCACCACAGCCTGCATGGTGCTGTGAGCAGTTTGCACGGGAAGGTAGGCTGGGAGGTGTCTCCACCGTGAAGAAGTGGCTGCCTGACAGCATATGCCTGGAAAACCAGGTGATTGACTTGATTTTTTTAAAACGCTGGCTACACAAACCACCCAAAGGTGACAAATGCCGGTCACTATTCAACTTTCAGATTGACCCCATTAGTCCTGCAGATTGACTCTGATAAATCACTTCTGCAGATGCCTCATGCAACTAGTTCCCAGGACCAGCTCAGCGCCAAGTCCCTGCTCCCAGGGCTCACCAACCCACAGGTTCCACTATCTGGAAAGCACCTTGCTGACACTTCTGCTACAGCTGCTATGAAATTACTTGTGTTCGACATACATGTTTTAAAGCTACTTTCTCTTGTCTTATCTTGTACCAAATTGCTCAGTAGTACATCTGAAGCCAAGATCTTAGCACTGGCAATCTCCATACTAACTCCCACCGAGCCCATATACCCCATGTCAGGTAAGGTAAGGGCCATTGTGCATTTAGATACAGTTAAACATGAGCACCTTGGTATTTTCTACCTCCTGGCCATTGATGTAGCAGAGTTTTCCAGTAGCCATATAATAAATGGGAAAATAGCAATGTCTGAGTTTGGCATATTTTGGTGCTCCTATTCCTTCTAGACCTGGAACTGAACTGTTTTGGGGGTGGGAGAGTGGAAAGGCAAGGAAAGGAGAAGGGTTGATGCCTGCAGAACTAAGTGACACATTCTCCAGAGAAAAAGGAAGAGCTGGTTTTGGTCTGTCCCACCAACATCTGCTTGCATGCTGAGGGGACTTCCTTTATTCTTCCATGATGAGCACACCTTCTGTGACTGGGAATAACTGTATGTCAAAATAATTAGGAAAAACACTGGCTGCAAGTACCCTAAATGGATAGGAAAATGCAATCCAAAGCCATTAACAGTGCACAGAGTTATGATACATGTCCTCCCAGGAGCAATCAGAGACTATGCTGAAAACAGTCAGCATGAATTTAAACAGGGTAAATAGTGCCCAGGCCAACCTGTTTGCCTCCTGTGATGAGACGACCAGCTTTATATAGAAGGGGAGAGGAGCAGATAGGGTATACCTTGACCTAGCAAGGTCTTTGCCCCAGCCAGCCAGAGTATCCTTATAGTCAGACTGGTAGGACATGGACTGGATTGGCTAGAAAGTCACCGGGCTCAAAGCATGGTGGTCAGTGTCACAGGGTCCAGCTGGTGGCCAGTTGCTAGTGGCATCCCCTAGGGATGGATCCTGCAGCCAGTACTGCTTCATGTCCTCAGCAGCAATTCAGTACTAGGAACAGAGACCGCTCCCAGGAAGTTCACAGGTGATACTGAATGTTGGTTCCTGGAGAGGATGAAGAAATGGACTGATAGTAACACTAGAATGACCAATTAAGACAAAGACAAAGCCCTACACCTGGGACAGAAAAACCCCCTGCACTAGTATGGGCTGGGAGGCAACTGTCTAGAAAGTAAGATGTGCAAAAAGGGGACCTGGTGGACCCATGGGCCCTCATGGAGATGTAGACTAAAAGCACCCTGAGCTGCTTTAGCAAGATTCTAGCCAGCAGCAGGGAGGGGAGTGATCATTTCCTTCTCTTTCATGTTTGTGAGACCACACCTGGAGCACTGTATCCAGTTTGGGGCTCCCTGATACACAAGGGGTGAGTCCAGTAAAACCACCAAGCTATTCAAGGGCTGGAGCACAGAACACAAAAGGAGAGGCTGAGGGAGCTGGGTCCCCTCGGCCTGGAGAAGAGTCACCTTTGGGGTGGCCATGCTATCTGGACTCTGACTGCAATGACAGTCTCTGCAGCCTCTTCCCCCTCTCTCCCAAGGGGGAGAGAGGCTTTCAGTGCTTCATGCATTGAAGGTCAGCTCTGATACTGCACTATGATGAGCCTCACCTGTTCTCCACTTCCATGCACCTTCTACCTGCTGGCTCAGGAGCTGGATTTAAGCTCACAACCTTGCCCTGGGTCCTCACCTCAGCTGCACTGGAAGTCAGCCTGTGCCTGGCTTTGTAACCTACTGATCCTGATTTGGCCTTGCTGACTTTTCCTTCCTGGCTCGCACTTGAACCTGTCTTGTAACTATGGACTTGTCCTAGCAGGCCACCTTGACCTGAAAAGATCTTGCTTGCCATCACCACAGCCTGCATGGTGCTGTGAGCAGTTTGCACGGGAAGGTAGGCTGGGAGGTGTCTCCACCGTGAAGAAGTGGCTGCCTGACAGCATATGCCTGGAAAACCAGGTGATTGACTTGATTTTTTTAAAACGCTGGCTACACAAACCACCCAAAGGTGACAAATGCCGGTCACTATTCAACTTTCAGATTGACCCCATTAGTCCTGCAGATTGACTCTGATAAATCACTTCTGCAGATGCCTCATGCAACTAGTTCCCAGGACCAGCTCAGCGCCAAGTCCCTGCTCCCAGGGCTCACCAACCCACAGGTTCCACTATCTGGAAAGCACCTTGCTGACACTTCTGCTACAGCTGCTATGAAATTACTTGTGTTCGACATACATGTTTTAAAGCTACTTTCTCTTGTCTTATCTTGTACCAAATTGCTCAGTAGTACATCTGAAGCCAAGATCTTAGCACTGGCAATCTCCATACTAACTCCCACCGAGCCCATATACCCCATGTCAGGTAAGGTAAGGGCCATTGTGCATTTAGATACAGTTAAACATGAGCACCTTGGTATTTTCTACCTCCTGGCCATTGATGTAGCAGAGTTTTCCAGTAGCCATATAATAAATACATGTAAAAATGTTCTGCCTTTTTGTTTCTTATTCAGAAAGAAAGCCTCCAAAGCTTTGTAATTTTCCTTAGAGTGAGATCCAATTGGTTTAATATGTATCTTCACAAGGTCCTCCTTATGCACACATGGAGATGGCTGCAAACTTCATAGCAGATGTTCACTGCAGATATCCCTCCATGTGGATGGGTGGCAACTTCACCTCCTGCCCATCCATTCCACCAAGGTGGGCTGTGTTCCGCATGTCAGGATTTGCCTCCCACAGCTACAGAGGAAATTGAGTTTCCAACATCCACCATCTCCTGCCCTCTGGCCCAGGGACCGACGCTGCCAGCATCCCTAGTCCAGGGACAGAGCAAGGCAATGGGGTGGGAGATGGGAGTGGGGAAGGCAGAAGTGTGCTGCTGTGGTGCAAAGGCAACTGCCACACTAGGATGCACAACATAGTGTACCCTCAGCAAGACACATGAAGTCTTCATGCTAATCAGCGCCAGAAAAGCCTCAGCTAAGGGCTCTGTTCAATTTGGGTAGCCATAGCTCAGCAAAGATGGAGAACAACTGGAGAACCTCAAAGCTGCAGCAACAACCATGACCAGAAGTGAAGAAAATGTGACCTGAAGAAACTGCAGGACTGGGATGGCTTAGACAAGAAAAAACACACTCAGGACAGGTATACGTGTCTAGAACTACGTAACAGACAGCCAGGAAAGGGAAAGAAGTAAACATGTCCATGTGGACAGAGCAGAGCAGGTACATATACAGAAACGCAAAAATACAAATAGCTTCCCATTTTTGGCTTTCATTTTTAATCAGCAATGAATACAAAGCATTTAAGCATTGTTCTTTAGTATTTATCTTATACCAAGAATAGCCTTTGCTGTACTTAGGTGAGGTCAGGAATAAGACTTCCAA